GTTGCACATATACCTCCCTCTTACCTTTTTAAAAAAAATGAGTTTAGAAATCAGAAGTGTCCTGGAGATCAATCAGGTGCACACTGAGTTGAATTACCCGATCAAAGTTTAGGTCTCCGTGAAGGGAGGGGGGACTTTAAATTTGCTGGGATCTAGTATCCTTGCTGAAAATGTGTGCAATTTGTACATATGCATGTCTGTTTGGATTTGTGTGTATGTATGTCTGTGCAGATCTTCATTGTGTCTGCACGTGTGTGTTCACATGTGAGTGTGTGTACATATATATATAGTATGTGCATGCACGTATGCATATACAGTTGTATGTATACTTCTACACGACAAGTTTAGGATAAGTTGTGCTCAAAAGTGACCTTCAGGGTAAAGGTAAAGGAGGTGCCTTTCATCTATGATCACCATAACTGATTTTCAGCTGGTTAGGAGAGTGAAGGAGGGGAAATAAAATAACAATTAAAAAATTAGTTCTTTTTTGCATATTAAAGGATCAGGATGCGGTTGAGAGGAACTATGCTTAATCAGATGAGGAACACAACAACAGCTGAAACCTATTTGCAATTTTGAAGTGAAAACTAGCATGAATTTAACCCTTGAGTACCACAGTATTTTTACTACAAATACATTTTATATTTGCCCCCAAGGACATTCCAAACCATGAAAAAGAGATAAGGAACACAATTTTCAAAAAGATGTGCATCATCACTTTTTATATTGAATGAAATCAAAGCTGTTAAAAAGTTTTAATTTCTGTTCAAAGTTTGCAAATAGAAATTGTCCACTTAAGTTTTACAGCCAGTCATTTCAAAATTCAGTTGCACCTTGAGCACTTTTCCCCTCTGTAGGGCAAAGAGAGAGAAGCAAAGCAAACTCCTTCACAGTGCTTTGTCGATCCGTTAATATGTGGTGGGTATTTCCCCCATATCTTGCTGCAGTTGTAAGGAGAATGTGTTGTACACGATTTCCTGCCGAAAAAATAAAGGCTCAGCTGGTGATTGTTTGTGCAGCCATGTAAATGAATCTTGGCGGTAGGCTCAGAACAGATAAAGCATAGATTCATTTCAGTGTTGGTCTTAAATTCATTCAGTTTGGTCTTAAATAGTTAAATTGCAATGACAGGCTAAACATGGCTTGCATTTCCTTGAGGTTACAATGTTGAGAGGTCATGGGGAGGTGGTGGCCCAATGGTATTATTGCTCAACTAATAATTCAAAGATCCAGACTAATACTCTGCGGACATAGGTTCAAATCCCATGAAATTTGAATTCAGTTATTAAACATGGAATTAAAGATGTATCTAATGGTAACCATAACCATTGTCATAAGAACACATCTGGTTACTAATGTCCTTTAGGGAAGGAAAATCTGGCCTCATATGACTCCAGGTCCATGGCAATGTGGTTGACTGTAAGCCAGCCAGTCAGTTGTATGTAACTATGTCGAAGTCTGATAAAATGGATGTACCACCCAGCGCTGGTGAAGACAACAAGAAACACAATCCTGTCAATTGTGCAAATTCTTCCTCATAACACTCTGGAGCTTATGTCAAAATTGGAAAAACGGTCCTACACACTAGTCGAGCAACAGCCTGACTCATCCCTGAGGTGGTGGCACAGTGGTTCATGGTCAGAAGAGATTTGCTCTAGTAGTCCTCAATATTGACTTGGGATGCCATCAGGTCTCTTGGCATTAGGTCAAACATGAGCAATGAAAACACGTCTCAGCTGATAATCAGTTCTCAATATTGGAGCTCCTGGAGTATGCTATGAGGGTGACAATGGCACAGAATGTACTCTGATTTAGGGTCTTCGCTGTACATTACAAAATGTGGCTTGGCAGCTGTAATATTGACTGAACTGGTCAAGGCTAAACAGACATAGCTGATATACTGGGCCTCCAGATAGTGATAAGTGAACCAACAAGAGAGAAGAAAGGGACTTGACCTTGTCCTCACCAATCCACTGTTGCAGATGCACCTGTATAAGACAGTATTGGTCAGAATGACCACCACACAGCACATTCACATAGAAGATCCTCAACATCATGATGTGGGACACTACCATGTACTGAATTGGATAGATTTTGAACATTTCTAGTTACTCAAGACTACAGATTCATGAGGAACTGTGAGCCATCAGCAGCAGAAGAATTGTATGTTACCAGAATGTGTAATCTCAGGCTCAGAATATCTCCCATCTGCAATTATCATCATGCTAGAGGATCAAATTTAGTTTAATGATAAGTGCAGGAGGGCATGCCAGGACCAGCACCCAGCATACCTAAAAATGAGAGATCAACCTAGTGAAGCTACAAAACAGCTCTCCTTATGTGTAAAACACCATAAGCAGCATACGATTGACAAAACTAAGTGATCCCGGAACAATGGATCAGATCTAAGCTCTGCAGTCCAGTGCTTTCAATCATGAATGGAGGTAGAACATCAAACCACTGTATTAGAAGACTTCACAAATATTCCTTTTCTCAACGATAGGGGAACCAAGTCATCAGTGTGAAAGACAAGGATAAAATATTTACAAGCATGTTTAGCCAAAAGTGCTAAACATACGATTCTTCTTGGCCTCCTGCTAAATTCTTGAACATCACAGATGCCAGATTTTAGCCAATTTGATCCACTCCGTGTGATATCAAGAAATGGCAGAAGCCACGGGATACTGTAAAGACCGTGGGTCCTGACAATCGTACTAAAGATGTGCTCAATCCACACCCTCAGCCAAGCTGATCTAGTACAGTTACAACACTGATATCTACCCGGCCTTTGGAAATTTTCCCTCAGATGTGCATTAATCATGACATCTTAGGAAAACTTCAGTTTGTTGCCTGTGCCTCCTTCTTCTGTTTTAATGAAGTTGAAGTTTTCTTCACAAGGTTGTAATGTTCATATATTTTATGCAATTGGGTAGTTTCCTTCTCATGCAATAAATCATACTGTCAGCGTATAGGCATACTGGTTTATTTTTACTTGAAGCATCTCAAATATGCCCTACTATTTCCAGCAGCAGACCTGTAGGAGGCAGTACTGCACCCGCGTATTATACAGTGACAGACCTACAGCCACCTGTACTGTACCCTGGTAATATACAGTGACAGGCCTACAGCCATCTATACTGTATCCCAGTAATTTACAGTGACAGACCTACAGCCACCAGTAATATACAGTGACAGACCTAAAGCCACCAGTACTATACCCCAGTAATATACAGTGTCAGACCTACAGCCACCAGTACTGTACTCCAGTATTATACAGTAATAGACCTATGTTCACAAGTTACTGTACCCCAGTAGTAGAGTGATAGGCATGAATCCACTTGTACTATACTCTAGTATTATAGAATGAAAGATATGAATCCACCAGTTGGCCGACCCAGCATTACACAGTGCCTGATCTGTACCCACTAATCTACTACTTGAATGTGACATTGATAGATCTGTACCCACTCGTACTGTTCCTTAGTATTATCATAGAATCCCTACAGTGTGGAAGCAGGCCATTCATCCCATCGAGTCCACACCGCCCCTCCGAAGAGCATCCCACCCACACCCTATCCTATCCCTGCACTTTCTCATGGCTAATCCACCTAGCCACACGTGCCGAACACTATGAGCAATTTAACATGGCCAGTCCACCTAACCCGTACATTTTCGGACTGTGGGAGGAAACTGGAGCGTGCACAGGACACCCACGCAGACATGGGGAGAAACTCCAAACAGAAAGTCGCCCGAGGCTGAAATCAAACCCCGGTCCCTGGCGCTGTGAGGCAGCAGTGCTAATCACTGAGCTACCGTGCTGCCCCAGTTATATCCAGTAACGGACTTTAATCCATTGCTCCTCCAGAGCTAAATGTTTAGAGTAAGGTTGCAAAATTTATATTGATCCTAAAGTGTTATTGTTTATCACAAGGGGAATTGACATCAAAAGTAGGAAGGTTATATTTCAGTTATATAGGACCCTGGTGAAACTAATCTGTGCTCAGTATTCGTCACCTTATTAAAGGAAGGACTTCAATGCATTTGCAGCAGTTCAGAGAAGGTTTTTACGACTAATGTGTGAAATAGGCAGGTTGTCTTATAAGAAAAGGTTGGACACACTAGGCTTGCATCTACTGGAGTAAGATATGACTTGATTTAAACATTAGAGATCCTGAAGGGTCTTGCCAGGGTAGGTGCAGAGAGGATGTTTCCTCTTATGGGAGAATTTACAATGAGAAGTCGCTGTCTAAAATTCAGGGGTAGCCCATTTAATAATAAAGACTGGATGAATTTTTTTGAAACAGAAGTCTTTGGAATGCTATTCCTGAAAAGGTGATGGAAGCAGAGTCCTTGAATATTTTTAAGGCAGAGATGGGTAGATTCTTTGTATGCAAGGGGGGTGGTGAAGGGATATCAGTAGATAGACAGGAATGCAGACTGAGATTACAATCAGATCAGCCATGATCCTATTGAATAGCACAGCAAGCTCAAGGGGCTGAATGGCCTATTCCAGCTCCTGATATTTATGTAAATAGATAATTTGTGAAAGTCAATGCAATTCAACCACACATTACTAACTTTGTGGAAAATTGGACCTTTGCTTCTTGTTTTATATTTAGAGATAATTATTGTTTAAAAAGATGTATTCCAAAGTAAGGAAGCATTTTCAACAGCACTTTGGTAAATATGCTATCACACAAGGTTTGTCAGATAACAAAACTCAGGATTTTCTGAATATGCATTGTTCTTCCAATATAAGGCTCCAAAAATTTGATTTCAAACAAGATGAGATATTCATGATATATAATGTAATCTGATGATCTGCTATGCATATTTTTCACCCTTTTCAAAAAAAATGGACATTTTAAACTTAATATCTCATGCTGCAGGAAATCAAATTGTTTTAATCAAGATTTTGTGCTTATGTTTTAATTTCTCCTCCCCAAACAACCTTGCTTACCATCTCCTGTTATTTGTGTTAAATCCCATCATCCCTTTAGGCCAACAGCCTGGCTCCCACATCCACAAGTGCCACCCTTTCCCTTGCCAACCCTGATGTCTCCTTACTTAACTACCAATCTGCACTTTACCAGCCTTCAGCAGCATCCATGGCAGCTGTTGCCCAAAGGAGCATGCCACTGCAGACGGGAGCTTCGCAGCTGTGTGCTCGTCCTGACCCCTTCCAACAAGCCTTGATTGTGTGTCCGCCTGGATTTCAAGGTGAGATGTGTTTTGTTTGCCTTAGGGTCTTCACACTGCTGCTTTGGTAACTTCACATCTTTGTAGTTTAAACACCTGGCACTATTTCCTATTGTACTGAAAGTAGTTTCACCTACTGCTGTCCCATTCCCCACAATAAGATTCTTCAGCCTACTTAGCAATCAGCAGACCAAGGCAGTGCTGAGATTGGTACCTGGCCTATGCATCTAGGGGAAAAGGAGGTGTTACAATTAAGACCTAACAGACTGGAGCTCTTTTTTTGAGAAAAGAGAAGACTGATTGGTAACCTGACTGGCATCTTACAAATTATGGATGTTTTGATATTGTAGACATAAACTCCACTTGGGGTGGACTTCAAAACGAAGGGCCATGAATATAAGAAAGTCACAAATGAATCCAGTAGAACACTCAGGATTAACTGATTTACCAAGACAATGATTAGCATGTGGACCTCGCTATCATAAGGAGTGGTTGAGGCAAATAGTATGAGCACATTTATGAGTAATTCAGATAAATGCATGATGGTGGGGTAAGATTAAAGATGGGAGGAGACTCAAGACAGTACAACCTAAGGGACTGAATATTCTATTTCTGTGCTATAAATGTCATGCAGTTGGATTGAGGAACTAGCGATGATGATCAAGAGAAGGATAGGAATCAGACTGAGCTCCCATTTCTGCCCGCTTGCTGAAAACAGTATGAATGTTGAATGAGAGCAGGATTAGATTGAACTGAGATGATCTCAAAGGTCAAATGGTATGCTACTTGAATATGAAAAAGGGTAGTGCACTGGAGAGTGTCTGTTGCTGTTGGAATCTGGCAGGATGATTGCTTTTGAAAATAGCGTGCATCAAATCTTGACAGACCTTGTCTGCTTCACACAGACCATTCTGTTTTTCTTCCTGCATCTCAAATGTTCTCTCATTGATGCCAATAGGATTGCAGGCTTCTCCAACCAAGCATGCTGGGTACTCTGTCCGAATGGAGAATGCTCTTCCAATTGTTACGCAGGCTCCAGGAGCTCAGCCTCTTCAGATCCAGCCTGGCCTACTGACACAGGTAGTTGGAATGACTAACGTGTTGTATCTCAACAAACCCTCATGGCACACCCAACATAGACAACGATCAGTGAAACCCAGAAGATTTCTTGTTTGATTTTCATGGACTTGGGATGTCTTCTTAGACCTTAAATGCATTGACCAGATCCAAATTTTGCTAGAAAGAAAAAATGGATGGGGCATGATTCACACAGACACCTGAACTCAGCTGAGTTCAAACAGAATAGTCAGAACTGCAGATGCTGGAGTCAGAGATAACACAGTATGGAGAGAAAGGTCTGTCTCCATCTCTGGTGATTGCCTCGAAACCGACATCTATTTCAAGCCCACTGACTCCCACAGCCAGCTGGACTACACCTCCTCTCACCCACCTTCCTGCAAAAATGTGATCCCCTACTCTCAATTTCTCCGCCCCCACCGCGTCTGTTCCCAAGATGGGGCGTTCCACTCCCGCACATCCCAGATGTCCTCCTATTTCAAGGACCGCAACTTCCCCCCCTTCGGTGGTTGAAAATGCCCTCAACCGCAACTCTTGTGTTTCCCACACCTCTGCCCTCACATCCTTTCCCCCCAACAAAAACAAAGACAGAATCCCTCGTCCTCACATATCACCCCACCAACCTCCGTATCCAATGCATCATTCTCCACCAATTATGCCACGTAAATCTGACCCCACAACCAAAGATATATTTCCCTCCCCACCCTATTTGCCTTCCGTAGGGACCGCTCTCTCCGCAACTCCCTCGTCTGCTCCACAGTCCCCATTAGCCCCACCACCCCCAGCACCTTTCCCAGCATCCACAGGAGGTGCTACACCTTCTCCCAACACCTCCCGCCTTACCTCCATTCAAGGCACCAAACAAACCTTCCACATTAGACAAGGCTTCACCTGCACATCCGTCAACGTGGTCTATTGCATCCGCTGCTCCCGATGTGGCCTTCTCTACATCAGTGAGACCAAGCAGAGGCTTGGAGACCGCTTTGTTGAACACCTGCGCTCTGTTCGCGACTAACGACAACACCTTCCGGTTGCGAACTATTTCCACTCCCACTCCCTGGGTGACATGTCCATTCTGGGCCTCCTCCAGTGTCACAATGATGCTACCTGCAAACTGGAGGAGCAACACCTCATATTCCGCCTCAAGAGCCTACAACCGAATGGTCTCAATGTGTACTTTTCCAATTTCAAAATCTCCCCACCCCCGGCCTCATCCCATGATCAACACTCCCTCTCATCCCCGCCTCCTTGACCTGACACAACCTGTCCATCTTCTCTCCCACCTATCTGCCCCTTCCATCTCACTGACCAATCCCCATCACTCCCTACCTGCACTCAGCTATCACCATCCCACCTACCTTCTCCAGCCCCACCCCTCCTCTCTCTATTTATTTCTGAGCTTCCTTTCCTCTCCCCATTTCTGAAGAAGGGTCTGACCCAAAACATCAACTTTCCTGCTCCTCTGATGCTGCCTGGCCTGCTGTGTTCCTCCAGCTCCACACTGTGTTATATTTGAGTTCAAACAGATACCATTATAGCTGTTACAAGGCTCTTAACCAGCATTGTGGGGAGTCATGAATTGATGGAGTAGATGTAAATGCTGTTGGACTTGTTCTTTAAACTTGGAAAAAGCTGAAGCTTCAAAGTTTCAAAAAAGCCTCTGCTAGGCCACTTTGATTGACAGACATAGGTTAGGGGGGAAAAAGTAGCATCTAGTTATGTATTTCATTAAACCTTTTTGTTGGCATTTCACCATGAACTATGTTATGTGAATTTCAAAAACTACAGTTATCTCAGTATGGTGTTCTGAGTTCAGAGATTGATTGACAGCTTAAAGAGACAAACTGAAGCATTAGTTTTCTTTGATGTGAGATCTGAATAGAAGTATATTTGCTTTTATAAGAGATAACTGTTTTAAGATTTAAAAGCTTTAAATAAATCTTATGAACAGGAGCTTTTCAATATAAAAACTGTAAGAGCAAAAGCTGTGTTCGGTTGTTCAAATTTATTTTTTCATCTCCACATGGCTCCTGGGGACTGTCCATGAATAGTATGGAAGGTATTGAAAGCTATAAGGCTGCTTAAAGCCATAAATTGGCATTAAATTGGTACATAGAATATGAGGGACCATAGAAGAATAGGTGAGGAACATCAACTGGCATGGAAGGTATCAGCTGCCATGGAGATGCTGCAATGCAGGGAAAGAGGAGATGGTGAATCTGGCAATAAGTGTGGGTTAGAAAGCCTAATAGCTCCTAAAGCAGCTTGAACTAAGATTGGCTTCCTAGTTAATACCTCCACCACCACCCCTCCACCTCCCTCTTGTGGCTGCCTACGTTTTTCTTCTGGGGTCAGCAGGACCAACTCTATCTCCCACCTTATCTGCATGCCCACAGTGAACATTGCACATTATAGTTTTTGCTGGGGTGGCCTTGGCAATCTTCTAAATTGAGCTGAAAACAACAAATGTCTGCTTCAGAAGCCAAAATCCATCCCTTAGTCTCTGCAGAGACATTTAATTTCAATTGAACTCATATTTCAGTGGCTGCTGCAATATACTTTGTACCTCTCAGCTAGGGTGAAGTCAAATATTAGACAGAGCTCCCATTATGCACTGGTCACTGTGTGACAGTGAATGTAGCATTTACATGACCTCAGGTCTAATATAAACCTTTGGTGTGGAGACCTTTTATCAAGAAGGTTGTCACAGATCTCCAATGTTGTGCTAATGTTCACTTCCTGGATTCAATCAAAATTTGGAATCAAGTTTCTGGCAACTTGGAAATTATTTTGGAATGAAACTGGGCACAAAGGGGGACAATCTAGAGAAAGTGAAGTTGCACTGGTGGTGGATGTTAACCTCATGAGCATTCCTTATTTTGCTTTTCTTCCTTATAGCAGGCTTGGCCTGGTGGTACCCAGCAGATCCTTTTGCCTCCAGCCTGGCAGCAGCTAACAGGAGTGGCAGCCCACACTTCAATGCAACATGCTACTGTTCTTCCAGAGACAATGGCAGGGGCTCAGCAACTGGCAGACTGGAGGTAGGTTCAACCATTGTGGTCAACTGAAATGAGGTGACTTAATTTTCTCTTTGAAGAGAGAAACAGTGGGAACGTCTTGTGTTCGATCCCTCCACAGAGGGCTGCCAGACCTGCTGAGTTTCTCTAGTGTTTTTTGTTCTTATTTCAGATTTCCAGCATCTGCAGTATCTTGATTTTATCACTTAATTTTCTGTCAGTTTCTTCCTGGATGGAAGAAGGTTATGAAGCACAATCAGAAACCTTTAGTCCCACAAAGCTGCTAGACGACTTGGCCTGGTGTGCTTGTGATACCATGTAATGGCCTATAACTGACATCATCGTCAAAGCTGTGGCTTGCTCAGACTCTGTGTTCGTTAATCAGGTATTTGGCATAGACGACTATCTGACTCCTAACCAGGCTTTACAGATATCTAACAGAGAGTCAGCACTCTTCCTGTAAGATATAGCCTGGTTACCTTAATCCTGAGGACAAGGCATACAGCATTCTGAAGATTCTCCACCAAAAGGTGCACTGAAGTTTAAACTTTTCAGATCACAGCATTTACTAATGCAAACTTCTGGTCAGCTCCAAACTGCTGGTAATTGTTGACACAGCATTATTTTCAGCTGAATAGGATGAATCCCTGCTCCTGATGCGATGTTACATGCTGGGATAGTGTACTTTAGGAGTGGGCAAATCATATGCAGATTGTTTCACTCCTTTTTTTCTTATCCCTGTACAGCGTGTCTTAACCTTTCAGGTGAGATCACTGGTCCAGCCAATCAGTTGCCACTCATCCCTGGTGTATTTCACTTGGAGAACCAAGAATGCTATCCAAGTAGGTCATGATGGAGATCCAACTTAGCCCCGCAGAGACCTGGTCACTCTGTCCCCCTTTTTCCTATTCGGAGGTTTGTCACTTGCTGGTCATATGAATCAGAATTGTTTAATGCGGTTCTAGTCACTTATACGAGAGCTGTCACCAGTCTTACAGAGAGGTCAAGGAGGATTGTCATTAGTTGGACACTTAAATAAGAATTGAAACGAGAATGTGTCACCTGTCACTGCCATTCCTTTGAAATCTAATTGTGAACTCTGCCCAATATACTTCATGCTGCCTGAAAGAAACCATTGCAGTTGGAGCCCATATCAAAAGGACACACTGATCCTTCATTTTTCTTGGAATTAACCCTAACCGGTGAAGTTTTGTAATGAGAAAAATTCTGGAAAGAAGTTGACTACTCATAAGTAGTGAAACACACACTGATGGTTTGTGCTGAGTAAGTATCCTTTAACCTATTTTTGTCTGGCTCAGGAACACCCATCCGCACACCAGCCATTACAATACCATCATGCAGCAGCCGGCCCTCCTGGCGAGTCATGTGACTTTGCCATCTGCTCAGCCTTTGAACATTGGCGTCGCTCATGTAATGAGACAGCAGCCCACTTCAAGCTCCACCTCAAAGAAGAACAAGCAACAGCAGTCCTCCGTTAGGTGCGTAGAATGGGTCAATCAAAGTGTACTGTCATTACTGTGGAGGGGTGAAAAAAGCCTTAGAAAGTGATGGTGCACATTTGGGCTTGCTATTCCAGAAATACAGTTTGATTTGCACACAGACACTTCTGCCACAAGCTACGCCAGATGCCATGAAGACAGGGGCATAACTACATAGTCTAACAAGCGTTTCTTTTGATGAAGAAATGAAGAAAAAATGTATTTACACGTAGTGCCATTTACGACCTCACAATAACTTAAGTGGTTTACAGCTGACAAAGTACTTTAGAAATGTAATCACTATTATACTGTATAAACACCTAAATGTTTATTGCTTAAATTGTGCCATTCTCCACAATTATTTCAATGAGGTGCAGTTAATTTTCATGTTTGAAGGGTATTGGGGAAAGAGCAAAATAGTCAGAATCCACTGAGAGAAAATAGAACAAATTGGAACTGTCAAATTTACTCATCAGTCTGTACTGAGTCAACTGAGCCTAACAGCAATGCAGTTTGCCTCAATACCTCTGAAACACGGCACCCAATTTGCAAAGGATGGCATCTTCCTCTGGCACTTGAATGTCAGATTAGTTTGGGTACCTTGACCCAAGTGGGACTTGAAATCACAACCTTACACTATTAATATTGAATGTCGAAACCAAAATTATTGAGTTTCTGAGTTCAATCTGCTCTGTTTTAGGAGTGTAGAAATTGACGTGAAGAAAAAAGCAAGTTCCATTATGATCGGCATATGATACAATGACACTGGAGTTAGTTATATGAAGCAATCTACATTAATTAATCAACAACAGACAAGGATCACCATGGTGGTCAGAGTTCTGAAAACACTGGCCCAAATTCACCTGAATCTCCCAAGCATGCTAAACTTATCACAACATGTTTCAACAAAGCATAAGCATGCCCACTAGAGTCTTATACACCACTATCCAGAAAGCAGTGTAAGTTGCATTTCTATAGAACCTTTAATGTAGTAAAACATCACATGGCCTATCATAGGGGCATTATGAAACAAAAGTTGACAATGAGCCATATAAGCCGACATCAGAACAGAGGCTATTGCCAAGGGGAAAGCCCAACATTTGAATTTCTTTTCCATGTGACTAGTCCACTGTAACTGCTGATAACAAGGCGTAGAGCTGGATGAACACAGCAGGCCAAGCAGCATCAGAGGAGCAGGAAAGCTGACGTTTCGGGTCGAGACCCTTCTTCAGAAATGGGGGAGGGGAAGGGGATTCTGAAATAAATAGGGAGAGAGGGGGAGGCGGATAGAAGATGGATAAAGGAGAAGATAGGTGGAGAGGAGACAGACAGGTCAAAGAGGCGGGGATGGAGCCAATAAAGGTGAGTATAGGTGTGGAGTTAGGGGGCGATAGGTCAGTCCAGGGAGGACGGACAGGTCAAGGGGGCGGGATGAGACTGGTAGGTAGGAGATGGGGGTGGGGCTTGAGGTGGGAGGAGGGGATAGGTGGGAGGAAGGGCAGGTTAGGGAGTCAGGGACAAGCTGGGCTGGTTTTGGGATGTGGTCGGGGGAGGGGAGATTTTGAAGCCTGTGAAGTCCACATTAATACTAGTGGGCTGCAGGGTTCCCATGCGAAACATGAGGTGATGTTCCTGCAACCTTCGGGTGGTATCACAAACCCAAAACCAGCCCAGCTTGTCCCTGCCTCCCTAACCTACCCTTCCTCCCACCTATCCCCTCCTCCCACCTCAAGCCCCACCTCCATCTCCTACCTAACGGCCTCATCCCGCCCCCTTGACCTGTCCGTCCTCCCTGGACTGACATATCGCCCCCTAACTCCACACCTACACTCACCTTTACTGGCTCCACCCCCACCTCTTTGACCTGTCTGTCTCCTCTCCACCTATCTTCTCCTTTATCCATCTTCTATCCGCCTCTCCCTCTCTCCCTATTTATTTCAGAATCCCTTTCCCCTCCCCCATTTCTGAAGAAGGGTCTAGACCTGAAATGTCAGCTTTCCTGCTCCTCTGATGCTGCTTGACCTGCTGTGTTCATCCAGCTCTACACCTTGTTATCTCAGATTCTCCAGCATCTGCAGTTCCTACTACCACTATAACTGCAGATCCTTTCTACAATTTCTCTGTGCTAATTTGTTCCTTTCACTGAAGTCCTATACCACTCATTCTTTCTTGAAATAGATAAGGCTTTACACTGATCAGATTGATTTTAATTTGTAGTGAATATGTCAATCAGACTACTTTTTTGGCAGGCTTTGTCTATTGGCATTGTTTATTCGAAGAATATTTGGGACTTCCTCTGACTTTTCCGAGCTGGATAACCAAGCTCTGAGGGAGCAGATGGCAGGATTGCCATGTTTAAAACTAGTAATGGTGAAATGCTTCTGGAGGTTCACAGAGTAAAAACTGCATGTTTTGGGATGATTAATTCTCAGTTATTGAACTCACATCATGCCTAAATGTTTGGTGCTTAAATTGTGACATTCTCAACAATTTTTCAACAAAGTGCATGTAATTTTCTTGTTTGAAGGGTAGTGGGGGAGAGCAAAATAATTAGAATTTACTAAGATAAAATAAAACTCATCAGAACTGTGAGTTTTACTCTCCAGTCTGTGTTAACTGAGCCTAACGGCAATGCAATATGCCTCAATTCCTCTGAAAAAAAGGTGAAAGAAAATCAACCATATATCTTATTCCCGTTTATTGTTCATTGAACCCCACCTTCTCCTTAATGGAAAGTCTATACCTGTTATTATAAGGTTCAGGCTCAGATATGACAATCATCATTATCGTGGAGCCTTTCAGATTTAGGTGCAAACATGAGAAGGGAGCAATTGGCTGAGATGCTAGATAGGAGCCAGCAGCTGTGGAACTGTGTGCCAATATGAGTCAGTGCCTTTAGGAGGAAAAGAGGAAAGGAAATCAAATTCAAATTAGACATAATTACAGGATTAAGTTGTTTTCAAGACCTTCAGTAAGAACAGGCTTTTTCTTCTGACAGTATAAGCATACAGAAATGTCGACTTTTTCTTTCTGTGCATGTCGTCTTAATGTTTCTGCTCCTTTTACACAGGAATATGTCAACCTACGAAGTCTCCTCCACCCGAAGCTTCAACTCCCACTCCCCTCAGCGTTCGAAACGTGTGAAGGAGAACACCCCACCAAGGTGTGCCGTGGTGCAGGACAGTCCAGCCTGCAGCACCTTAACGTGTGGCTGGGGGGAGGCCATCAGCACAACCCATGAACATCAGAAGCAGACCATAGTCATTCCTGACACGCCTAGCCCAGCAGTCAGTGTCATCACCATCAGCAGTGACACTGACGAAGAGGAGGAACACAAACGAGTCCCCAACAGGTGAAGAGATAAGAGGCAGTATGATGTAGAATCTTTTGACAGAAAAGAAACAAGATGTTAGGTCCACTGATGTATGGGTTTAGGCGTCACAAAAACCTCTAGCAACCTTACTTTTTTTTTGCTTTATGAAGAATCCTTTTATTCCTTACACTGTCAAGTACTTCTCTTTTTGTTTTAAATGCATCTATGCTAGGCATGTCAGCATGTAAAAATGATTTTCACGTTCTAACAACTATCTGTTTAATTCTTTACTGACTTCATTAGCGCTAATAACCCAAATCAGGACTTTGGCTCAAACAACATTGTTAATTGAAAATGTTTTGAATAGAGTTTGTGCTGGTGACTAGATTTGGAATTAATTACTAACAGAACATTATTAGAGCAGAGATCAAATTTTCAGCAACTTATTGTGGCAAGGGAAAGCAAGGCAGAGAGATTTTCAGAGAGTTGAGATTGTAATATGTTAACAGAAGTGAAATTAACCCAGATAAAATCAAATTACTTACCTGGAAAGAGGGTTTATACCCATAATATACAAGACAAGCCATGGAAGGAATGGCACAGACTGTAATTGTGGGAAGCAAAATTATCCCTTTGGGTTGGACAGTGACTCCTCTCTTCAAAACAAAAATGTGATAATCCAAGAAATCACAGGCCATTTAGATTTAATTCAAAGCAAAGTGAACTAGTTGGGCAACATGGATTGCTGGAACAAAAGTAATACTTTTAGAATTATTTGAAGAAACAAAATGAAGATCGATAAGGAAATTTAGCAAACAAAATCTATATGGATTTGCTAAAGTTCCATTTCAGCCAAATATAATGGCACAAAGAATTAAGGAAAATGTGACACCAAGGATAGCGATTGTCAAACAAAAGGTGAAACATAGGGTTAAAAGTATTTTGAACTGGAGAGAAGCAATGGTTGTTCCAAACAAGTCTGTGCTGGGACGCGTCTTATTTATTGAACGCATCACCAATTTTGACTTCACAGTTGAAGGACCAACACTGAAATTTGCACAAGACAGCAAATGAGGGTTATGGCAAATTGAAACCCTGCAGAGTTTTGATCATTTTATTATAAGAATGACTTCAAAGAAATGGAAAAACTGCAGAATGGATTTTTTGGGTTATATGCAGAAATTAGGGGTTACAGATATAAACAGAGTCTTGAGAAACTGGATCATTTTCACTGACATGAGCTGTGCAATGGAGTGGTCTGATTAAGGTCTATATAATTGCAAAGTAAAATGATCAGAGTAAATAGTGAGTAATTGCTCCCACTGGTCCGTGACCAGAGTAAACGAAGGGGGCCCAGATTTACAGTAATCACAGGAATTAAAAGTGAAACTTTAAAATTATGCACTACAGTGAATAGGTATAATGTCAAATCATTGCCAAACACTGTTGTTAAAGATGAGTCCTTTTAATTCTTTGAGAGAGGAATGAGATAGTTGTCTCAAAGAGATGAATATTTATGGGCTGGAAAAGTGGGAGAATTTAGCTAAGTATCTTACATGAAAAAAATGCTTCAGACTTGACATATTGAATGAATTGGAATGCTCAATAAGTGCAAACTAAGTTTGCTTTTGAGGTTGTAGACATGCTTGCTAAATCGGTGGGTTTGGTTGCAAACATTTCATCACCCTGCTAGGTAAAATGGTCAGTGCACCTCCAGTGATGTGTCAGTTTTCTGTCCCGCTTGTTATTTATATGCCTGGATTCACTGGGGTGGTTGGTATTACTTCCGGTTCCGTTTCTCAGTGGTTTGTACACAGGGTCTAATTCAATGAGTTTGTTAATCAATTTTCGGTTAGAATGACAGACCTCCAGGAAATTCCTGGCATGTCTCTGTTTGGCTTGTGTGATTATGGATATGTTGTCCCAGTCGAATTCGTGTCCCTCGTTGTCCGTGTGTAGTGAGACAAGTGAGAATTGGTCATGTTTCTTGGTAGCTAGTTGGTGGTCATGTATCCTTATTGTCAATTTTCTTCTGGTTTGGCCTATGTCGTGTTTCTCACAGTCCTTGCATGGTATTTTGTACACTACCCCAGTTTTGCTGGTTTTGGATATGGGATCCTATATGTTTGTCAGTAACTGTCGTAGGGTGGTTGTCCAGAACTCAATTAAAACACTCTTGCTTTTATGTTCAATTCCTCCTGTAACAAAATATATGATTCCATTAGCTTTCTTAATTACTTGCTGTAACTGCATACTCACTTTCAGTGATGCACTAATAATACCTGGATCCCTTCCATCTTGGAATTTTGTCAAGATTTTTTCTTTACATAATACTCTGCTTTTTATTCTTCCTGTCAAAGTGAACAGCTTCACTTTTTATTCCCATTCACTTAACCTATCTATATTGGTCTGCAACCTTGTTTTGTCCTCTTCAGAACATAATTTCTTCCCTGTACTTGTGTTCATCTGCAGATTTAGCTACTATGGCTCCACTCCCCTCATCTAAGTCATTGACATAAAGTTCAAGTGGTCGAGGCCCCAGTACAGACTCCTTTATTCCCATGGTATATTTCTCCTTCAAAGAACTCTAATAAATTGGTTAAACATAATTTTCCTTTCACAAAATAATGTTGACTTCCCCAATGACTTAAGTTTTTCTAAGTGCGCAGCCGTAACTTCCTTAATGATTCATTTAAATTCAGTCAGCTGCCATGGGATATGGGACTGGAGGTTCCAGTGTAAAGTCTATTCAATTAACTGATCTCAATCAGGGCAACTCGGTGAGAGTCTATGACTGGCTCAGTATGTTGGAAATGAGAGTCAGGGTTATCATTGTTGTTAAAGATTGTGTTTATGCATAATGAAGGATCTTGGGTGAGGAATGGATCAAATTGAGCTGTTATTCTTTATTCTGATAAATTTTCCATGAACTCCCATTGTCACGAATCACATATGAAGAATGGCAATTGTGGGCAAGTTCCTGGAGGTTGGCTATTGCTGGTTGAGCCTCAGAAAGAGTCAGGAATGTAGTGTGTGAAGAGGAAGCTGAAGGGTAGGCTGGTTAAAAAGTTCAGCTTCCAAATCAGTGCTGAAGGTGTTTTCTTTCCTTTTTTCAGCAGACTGTCAAAGCAGAGGAAAAATGTCATTAGCTGTGTCACAGTGCACGACTCGCCAGACTCTGACTCTTCGAGCAACAACAGCCCATATGCCATGCAACAGCAGCACACCATCAGCGGCAATGCAAGCAACCAGGCCAAAGGACGGTCAGATAGCCACTACTGTGGGAACCCACGCACCATTATTGTCCCGCCTCTCAAGACGCAGTCTAGTGATACTGTGGCAGGGTGTGACCGCCTTGTGCCAGGTTTGCTTTCAGTACCTCTTTTATCTTTCACAAGTAGCCCAGTCTGTCATAGAAGACCCCAGATCACCAGGACTTACATATGCCCCCTGATTTGGCAGTGCCATGACTGAAGGAGTTCAGTCACGGGCTGGTATTGACTCTTCTGGCTGTTCATGAGTAAGCAGTAAGATATATTCCTGTGTCTTAGAACATTCTAGGTATTGCATTCAGTTCACAGTCGGTTGTATTGATGGCCATTTGTATGCAACTTCTCCCCCACCATCTTTATGTCACCACCTGTCTCCAGGACAGTAACTCTTCCGATTTTAATCGCCCCAACTGTTTCACCTCTTTGTGAGTCAAAACGAGGAAAAATCAGCAGACATCTGAGCGAAAGTGTCTCTGCACTTAGTGATCACATATGTTCACTTCTGTGCAGGAATAATTAAGTAGCAATTTGGGACAAAATGTCAGCCTTGTCTCACACAGGAGAGTTCTGCCAAGATGTGCTTTGCTGTTACTGAAATCCAGTAAATAAGCACAGATAATGAACATTTGTGGCCCATTACATGTAGCCTTTGCAACTTCTGTACAGTTAGGCAGGTATTATTCAGAGCCATTATGTTTTGACCTCTTTCTTGATCTGTGTTTAACAGTTTTACTAATGGCTAAAGTAGATGTTTTCGGATTGATGGAAGGTTGGACTCAGGATAGATAAATTAGAGTATTTTCTAAATGGTAAGAAACTAGAGCAGCTTTCAAAAAGAAATTGGATAAGTATGCAAAAAGAAAAGATAGTAGGAACTGCCGATGCTGGAGTCTGAGATAACAAGGTGTGGAGCTGGAGGAGCACAGCAGGCCAAGCAGCATCAGAGGAGCAGGAAAGCTGACGTTTCGGATCTGGACACTTCTGGCCTGCTGTGTTCCTCCAGCTCCACACCTTGCAAAAAGAAAAGGTTTGTTGGACTATGAGGGAAGAATGGGGTGTGGGTCTAATTAGATAATCTTTCAAAGAGAGGAATATTATGAGGATGTGGACAGCGTAAATAAGGGGGAAAAAAAACTTCTTCCCATTAGAATTGAAAACCAGAGAACGTTGACTTAGCAAAAAGGAAAAAAGTAATAGGATCTGGAGTGCATTGCCAGAGAGTGTGGTGGATGCAGATTCAGTTGTGGCTTTCAAGAGAAAATTGTATTATTATCTGACAGGAAATATTTGCAGAGTTATAGGGAATATATAAAGGAGTGGTACTAGATGAAACGATCTTCAAGACAGCTGGCACAAACACAATGGGCCAAATGGCTTGCTTTTGTCCAGTAACCATTCTATTGTTCTATTAATATTTTTGGCTTTAATGGGACATAATCCCACCTTAGCAGTTAAATAATGCATTGCCCTTTACATAGTTTGTCATAATAAACTGCATATGATTTGTGAGCAATGCTAAAGGAGGTTAATTAGAATTGCTACAAATGGCTTGAGACATAAATCAGGTTCATAAACTAAACTCAAATGGGTTCATCTTAGGTCATTGGCCTTTCACGATCTGATTTATGGTCAAAGACCTTGTTGAGTGATTGAATTTTATTTCATGAAACTTACAAAATAGATTATACTGTCAGTTTTGTCTCTTTAATTAGACCTTAGAATATAAGATTTTTTTCCAGCTGGCATTAATTAATGTATTTTGTCCAGATTTATGACAACCAGAAAATTGAGTCTCTGGTTTCCTTATTGTACAGCTGTAGCATTTCTTTTACTAAAATTCTCTTGTTACTTTTCAGGCACACAGGGGCATCATTCATTGAGCCACAAGCCCAAAAACTCCAGCACAACAACATCCAGTGCAACCCACTCTTCAGCAAGTTACTCAGCAATATCATCTTACCGGCAACAGAGGTCAACAGCCCATTCCTTTCAACAGCAACCCCTCAATCTCAGCCAGGTACTTGGACACATATCTGGACATTCATTCTAAGTCAGCACTTGTTACTGATCTAGGACAACTCGCTCCTCATCAAAACCCTTTTGGTTATTTTCTGCTTTTTCCGTCCTAATCCCTGTTCACTTTCTCCTGATGTCTGCCGACTGGCTTCTGATACCTTCCCATTCTCTCCTTATCTCTGCCCACTCACTCCTCATCTCTATTTACTCACTCTTGATTTTTGCCTTTTTGCATCAAATCTCTGACAACTCTATCTTCATCTCTGTCCGCCTCTCCCTATCTTCATTCACATGCTCCCGACTTCTTAATTCACTATGGCTGGGATCCCATTCTAGCTGTGAAGATAGGTTGGAGCGCATCTGGCATACCATGTTGAAAACAAGATTGTGTTTGGTTGAGATCCGTCCAGGTCCGAGTGTAGGATAGAGTGCTGATGTGATTCCTCCAGTTGTGAGCATAGGATCTAAGGTGGATCGTAACCCTGGCATTGAGAGTATAAGATTGAGTGTTGGATGGTATCCTCCTGGTGTAAGTAATGAGAGTTAGTGAGATTCCCTCTCATGTCAGTGCTTCTTAGGATTTCCTGTAATCAGAGTTATCAGGAGAAAGGATGATGATTCAAAAACAATATGAATACTTCAGGAGCTGATTGTGTTAGGTCATTCAACATGCTTCTCTCTACATCAGTTAACAACATGTGTTGTCTTTTAGGCTCAGCCACACGTGACAGGGATCCAGGAGCGGAGTGGCAACCATGGACATCGGAGGCAGCAAGCTTACATTACACCGACCATTGCTCAGGCACCCTACTCGTTCCCACATCGTAGTCCTTCGCACACTACTGTGCATCCGCATCTGGCAGCGGCCCATCTATCTGGGCAGCCTCACCTGTACACCTATGCCACACCTGCTGCCCTTGCACCTACGGGCACAGTGGCTCACCTTGTGGCATCGCAGGGCTCTACCAGGCACACTTATGCCACTCATCCTGGAGGGATAGTCCACCAGATGCCTGTTGGTATGGGACCAAGGGTACTGCCATCTCCGACCATCCACCCAAGTCAGTATCAAGCCCAATTCGCCCACCAGACATATATCAACGCTTCACCGGCATCAGCTGTCTACACCGGATATCCATTGAGCCCAACCAAGGTCAATCAATACCCTTACCTTTAAGACTCAAGAACAACAAAGATATTGTATTGAATTGAAACAAGCAACAATGCATCTCGTACTTGAGAAGGTAGTTGAGAAATGAACTGGAAGGAAAGTGCTCAGTCATGGGATGAAAACTACAAATTTTTTTTTTTTAAAATCAGACATTAATTAAAAAAAAACCAAATTTTGAAAGCCTGACAATTGACCTCTGGCCAGTGATGAAGATGTATGAAGGGGAGTCGAGCAACACATGTTCGGTGGATATTTAATCTCTGAAATATTTTAAAGACCTGTGAACTTGGGACCCTGGAAGCTACCCTGAGAGTTTGGTTGAAGTTTTTAATTGAAGTTCAGTAAATGAACTACGGTTAATTTCTCAATTTCATTTTATTTTATATTTTGTTTGGGTAAACAAATAGCTGCTTATCTTTTCCTGAATCAAACCCTCCTTGTGAAGGTAGAGGCTGCCAGGGCCCCTTTTAGAATGTAGGGAGATGAGGAAAGCTTCATTAAATGATGTGATACCAATAGATATTAATCGTGATTGCACAACCCTGATTCAACTTAGCTCTGTTCTTAAGGCATGTTAGTTGTGACAGTTCTGAGTTCCACAGTTTGTGTGTGTGCGTGTGTGTGTGCGCGTGTGTGGTGGGGGCGGGGGGGGGGTGGTATTTTTGCTGTCTTTTTTTTAGCAGAAAGCTTCCTGTCATGTTCCAAACATATTCCCTTCTAGTGCCTTACAGAAAAGGACAAGAATTCCTCCAGACTTCCAATAGATCTAATGGAGCTGGTGTTAATGCTAAGGCAATCCTCCCAGTCACAACTCTTGGGCATGATGGCTCTGCATGGTGAAAGGACTGGGACTAACAGAGTGTAGGGTTGCGTTTGGAGAAACACAGTCTGAGTTTGCATGTCCTTTCTTCTCTTTACAACTCCTCAGGTGTTGGCAGCTCATCATTCCCTCTCCAGGTAGCCTGTCAATGTAGACAGAACATAATGTTGCAAGCAACAAAGTGCCATTTGACCCTCAAGCTCTCAAATCTACCAGTAGTCTATACATTGTTCTTGTAACATAGATGTATCCCCTCCACTCTCCACCCATTGACCCACCAATATAAAGGGACACCTATGTCCTGTTAACAATATCAAGTCTTGTTGTTAAACTCTGTGTCCTGTTGCTCTTAAAGGTGCCAACTGTCATTGAATTAATGAATTTCTGTTAACAATTGGTCTTGACATTGATTCAGTCATGGAAGGTATGACCATATTGTTACAAATGGCATGTACTGGCAAGTGGGGAGAAGAATGAGAGCTGCCATATTGCACAATGTTCCTAGGTAATTCAAATGTGTACCGTGTGGTACTTTAGGTACACAGAGTTGATGTTTTCTGGTGTCACCTTTGGAACACATCTATTACAGCCCACCAAAACATTCTGCTTCTGTCATTTCTTTAAAAAAAAATTTCCTCCATGACTGCAACATTTTAAGTGGTGACCTTTTCCAATTAAATAAAGAGAAAACATCCAGTTATTTCCTTTAAGCAACTCAATATTGAACCTTCTCCTGCAAGGACACATTTCTTCTGTCAATTTTCTCCCCTATCTTCATAGTTTCTTGGAATTTGCTTAATCTTACTGAACAGTGAAGCAGGCTTGTGAAGTTGAGTAGCCTCCTCCTGTTCTTATGTTTCTCCCTTTTATTGATGTGGATGCTTTCTGGTACCCTGCAGGAGCCTTGAGAGAGATCCAGAAGGCATCACAGCTGAAACAATCCTGCGCGTGTGTACTTTACACCCCTCAGGATATGATGGTCAATGATTTTTTAAGAGACCTGGCCAGAAGCAGGTTTCAACTGTCCCCGCATTTCTGTGACACCGGATCACTGAAGCCAACTCTGGCCTCTCCTTCATGTCACCACAGCTGAGCACATTACAATCCATGGCCAAGGCTGTGGCTATCTGAGGCAAATGTGCCCAAGTAACTCATTGACCAGATCAGAGACATGAGGGAAGTGGAACAAAGAGTTTAGGAATGGATCTATAGTACCAGTGGTTCTGACTGGCCGGACACCTGGCAATTTTGTTCTATAAGTTTGACCGAGACCTGCTAGTAAAACATCCAAGACCAGGGGTACAGCTTGAGAATCTAAACTGGTACAATTACAAGTTAGGTTTCTTCTTATTAGAATGAATATTTTAAAAACAGAGAGCAACAATTAAGAGCAGAATGTCTTTGCTCACCACACAAATTTGGGGTGACTGGCATTTTGTAAAAGAACATGTCAGTTTTTTTTTCCTTTTCAGTGTGGTACTTGAACAACTGTCTTCATTAGCTGCTGTTTTAAACTTTTTGAATTAATTGTTCATTGTTTTTCTCTTGGTTATTTGTTTTCTTTCTGAAAATAAGCAGTCCTTTTTTTAAGAGGAAAAATTTAATTTCTGTCTTTTCGCTTCCAATTGTGCTGTGTATGTGTTTTCTTTAGAGCAGAGTCGTCCAATAGAATTCACTGGCTAGAGCTACACAGTTTTAGTCACAGTTATTTTAATTACACATGCTCTTGCAATACAAGTAAATATATTTTACAGGTGTATCTTTACTGAAAAAAATCTAGCACTATTCAGTAAATAACAAAGTAAAATAAATATTACACTGCTTTTTGTCACCATTTTTCAACAAACACAAAACATACACACAAGTCATGTGAATAATACTAACATCACATGCCCAATGTGAATCATTTTTGATTACTAATCCAAAATACATCTATATTCCCTATAAGCCACATCTGAAGGTATAATTAGCCAAACATAGCTAGTGACTAATGAAGTGGGCCACATTGCATTAAGAAAGAAAAAAAAAATGATTGAATTTTTACAAAGATTACCTTCCTCTATAAGTTGAGTAATTACATAGTTTTTAGGGTTGTTAAAGGCTGACATTAGTTGAGTTGATTTCTAAGTCAGGTTAAGTGCTCAGTACATTCTTGTGGTCTGATCAATTATACCCATGTTCACTGTACATTCTAAAGGCCAGGCTTTGCAGTAACCAAGTGCAATCCCATCAAGGAGGAGAGCTGGCTATGAGTGAGTGTAAGGATGTGGATAAAGAATAAGTCACTCATATATACAAAAACAAAATGACATTTGACACCAAAGAAATTACATTTTATGGCATTATTTGTGCTTTGCTGCCTATGATTGTCAGGCTCTTTCATGAAGATTATCTGTTAGGAGGAGACAGCTGGAACTTATTCCTCTTCATTTGTAATTAACACTTAATACTTGACATTTTTTTCATTAGGTGGGAATTTCTCAAAGGTTTAATGGTTACTGGCATTGCTGCTATTTTCATGTATTTAAACATTCAAGTGAGTCTGTATCTGTTCTATATGTATATACATATGTTTATATATAAAAAGGAAGAAAAAAATTCCTAATCATTAAATCTGGGAAGGGGCATAAAAGCTACTGATTATCAGTTAGAGTCTGCACAGTTTCAATTGTTAATTCACACATAAATCAACTTTTATTCTATTTCATACAATTATACTTGCATCCCAAACACTGTTGAAAGATACAAGTATTTTTCCACTCAGAACCAATAAGAAGCCCCTCTTCTTCCCCCCACCTTGTCCCCATCAACTTGAAACCACTGGGGTGCCTGAAGGGCTGAAGTAAGGAGTTATCGATGACTTTTCGAAAATGAATGAATAATAATGGAGCAGTCATTTCAACAGTAACCTGTGTGTGGCTGGAATTTCTTGATAGCATGAAATCTCTCTGGTATCTGACCTTGTTCCATGCTAGCTCTTTTTCTTAAGCACCTTGTTGCAGTTTGGTTGTTTAAATCAAACATTTTTGTCTTCTTTTAAGATGTGTTTCCGAGCATCTTAACAATTTGGCGGAAAGTGCCTTTGTCTTGGAAGCACTTCAATGTATATTGGCAATAGAGTGCATGGATTTAAAGAAGGCAAGATTTCAAACTCAGAGCTGAAGGCTGTGACAATTCACTGAGGTCCAACACAATGGAGAGACATAGCTACTACATTAGCTATCAGTGTTCCACGCACTCCCCCTCTGAGTATGTCATTGAGAACATTCCTGAGCCAAACAGAAGTGGGCCCATATTGGAGGTGCTATCACATGTACAGAGTTATGTGAAGTGAAGGTGAGAAGCAGTAGAGTTGTCAAGCACTTGGGATTGTCCTAGAGTTTCCTGAAAGAAAGATGAATTAATCTTCCAAATGGTGTGAGCAACTCCAGATAAAATTCATAGGGGCATGCAAATTCTGTGTTCTTTCCTTTCATCATAAAAACAGAGAGATAGGGATTAAGGAACTTTTGGACAAGATGGTTAATAGTGAGATGTCATTTGATCAGATACCAATGAGGAACGTTTCCAATCAGGGTTGGCAACCTTAGAGAAGCATTGGGCAAATGGAAGATTTGGAGAGAGGGAAAATTAAGTTCTAGCCAATATTTGGAGGTTAAATCCTCCTTGTCATTCCACCTACCCCACCTCTCTCTGCTGGTTGCATGCATGTCTTTGTGAGTATTGGTAAATCTAGTGGAAGTTGGTCTAAAAAGATACTAATGTTGTTGGAAACCTGTTTGTAATTTTGTCTGGGGGTGAGCTGAATTTGACTCTACAGACCCTTCAGATTTTCATTTTAGGTTCTATGTTGCTGAAGTTATTGTGCAGTGTTACAGTTTTTTGGATGAGCTGCAACATATTCAGAGTCTGGTGCTAAATTTACAGGAGAACTTTCTTTTACATAGACTAATCTGACGTGAGCAAGATTTTGAAATAAGGAAATGGTGGTTGCATTGTTAGTTGGTTATTTTTTCTTCAAGCCTCAAACACAGGCTGACTTCAAATATACCATTGTGGCTGGATGCAGGATTGTGATGTGAAGCACTCACATCATGATTGTTATCAGTTATTTATTCTCTCTTCCTTCAACTCCTGACTCTTTGCTGCCATCAGGTTTTCCATGATGCTTTTCACAAGCAAACATATGAACTCATAACACAATGTAGACAGGACATCAAAGGGAATGAATAATGATTAGCAAAATACTTAACATGGGTCTGGCTCAAATTAGTCCACTCAGCACTGATCTGGACATCTATACTCCTACAGTGAATGCATCGATCCATCAGAAGAGATATTTAATAGATGTTTCAACCTTGCTTGGTGCACTTCTTTGCCTTCTTTACTACATAACTATTCCAGCTATGAATTGGAAGGAAAAGTGATGTTGGAAACTTGTACAATTGCAATTGAGCTGATGTGGAAGAGGGTTAGGTGAGATGATTTTAAAAAAGCAGTGGGAAGGAGAAGATAATGAGACTACAGTAGGTTGAAGTTGCTATGTCAATGAAGTAGGATAATAGCATTGTGCACAATATACAAGAAGGAATAATGAAAACTACAGTGGTTTATGATGTAGTTGGTAATAAGTTACAGGTGCATTTCGGGATGATTTTCAGAGAGATAAAGTGTTTAAAAGTCCATAATTTAATATTTGGTTTAATGGGAAAATGTACTAAAGAAGGGTTTACTCCGTAACTGACTTGCTCTGCTGGCACTCCATGTCCTGCCATTGCATTGCTTTTCCCACAGTGCCATACTGACCATCCCAAACGTTGATGACCTGAGCACACTGTCCTACCCACACTTTGCCAATCTGCCCTATCCATGTCATCCTGCCCTGCCCTGCTTATTCTGTGCTGTGTACCCAAATCACACTACACTGCTGATATTACCCTTGCAACACTCCCTGGCCATACCATACTGCTACATTTGTACTTACCCTTGCCTATTCCACCCTACTGTGCTCACTGTTCTGCCTCATTCATATTACTACAATAGAGCTGACAGTTTGATTGAGAAGTGATGTCCCCCTTCAGGCTAGAAGATACCAAATACAGGCTGGAGTTGCCAACCCCCAGGCAAAGATGGATCGAAACAGGACAGGATGCAAATGGAAAATAAGAATTCTAAAGAAGTTACTCTTATATTGGTGAAATCTTCTGCCCCAAAATTCTTCATTCATTACCTTAGTTACCCTGATAAAACCCAATTCATTCTTCCTATTAATACACTGTTGTTCTTCCTGGTAAGATGTTAGTGGTGATTAGTCATTTTGAATTTCCTAACCAACAGCTGCTTGGAATTAAAAGTCTTTGATTCTTGGCATCTGGGAAGGTCCTCCTGTGGTGCAGTGGTAGTCTTCCTAACCCTGAACCAAGAGACACAGGTTCAGGCCCCACCTGCTCCAGAGGTGTGTAATAACATGTCTGAACAGATTGATTAGAAAAATAGGTGTTGGCATCTGGGAGGGGTGCTCATGGTGTGGGGGTAATGTCCTTACTTCTAAGCCAGGTATGCAGGTCCAACTCCCAAATGCTGCAGGGGTATATAATAACATCGCTGAGAAGATTGACTAAAAATTATCTATAAAGTTCTCAGCCTCCATATTGAGGGGCTCCTGCGTTGTAGTAATAGTATCCCTACCTATGAATTTGGAGGCCAGGGTTCACGTCCCACCTGCTCCAGAAGTGTATTATAACATCTCTGAACAGGTCAATTAGAAAATAACTTGGCAATCGAGAAGAAAGTCTGCCCCCTCAATACTCATTGATGTAACCCTCCAGGAATCACTTCATGTTAAATTGAGAGAGGGGAATCTTAGTGGTCAATATGGGGTACATTTATTGCATTACACAGATGTGGACAGTACCCATCTCTGCTACAAGTTTCACCTTCCCTCTCCAAGGTATCTTTGGGGTTTTAAACTCAGAATTCTGTCTCACCCTTGTTCAGTGTCAAGCCCTGGTAACCTGTATTAAACTCTCTATAGGTTTGTGTTTCAATGTATTATTCTATGTTATTTTCTTTGTGGACTGTCTTTCTTGCTCTGTAATTTGTTGTCTTTTTAAAGATGGGGGCACAGTTTTGGTGCAGAGAGGAGTGAGATGTTGTAGGAATATATGTACAATGTAGAAACTTATATCTTTGCCCCATATTCTAGGTATGGTTACAAGAATGTTTATTTTGCTGAATTGTAGAGTGTTTTTAAAAACAAAACAAAGTTCAGCCAGAAACTCAAGTCGTAGCTACTAAATGCTTGTGTTTTTCTAATGATGTTGTGAGCTCACTCTTAATTGTTTCAGTTGTAGGAGGAATGAGTGGAAATTTTATGGTCTCATCTTGAAACTAATATTAGAAGCATTGTAAATTAAAAGAAGATTTTAATGAAAAAATAGAGTATATAGTTATTTTAACTGTTACTATTAACTGTAGGGAGAAAAGGGGGTCTATTGTTGTGAACTGTTTAGCTTGTAGTTCACTGGTTGTTGATCATTTTTTCGGTCTCCAAGTGAATCTGCTTATCTCCTAATCAGAATATATGCACTCACATATGCATATTGTATATGTGTGGAAATGTAATCACAAACTGTCTTGGATTTACATTAAACTGTTTCAAATCACTCCAGGACAAGTCTGTATGTGTGTGTCTACCTGCCAGTGTTTGTTACGACATACTATTTACATGTGTTTTACCATTCATGACAAGTCTCCCACTATCTGCTGTCTGCTCATCAGGCTCAAGCCCATGTTTTGGTGCTTATCTAATAAGTTAATTAAGCTTGGTTATTTATGGGAATTGCAAAACAGGTGAACCTAAAAGAGATGATCTAGTTAGTTATCTCATTTCTGTTTGTGTGACTTTGCTGCTGTATTTTTCATACTGCAACAATGACTACAGCTGAAAAGTACTTCATTGCTTTTAAAGCAATTAGGAACATCATGAGGTCAAGCAAAAGCTACTACAAGTGTACATCTTACTGTTTCTTTACGCAAGTAGGTATAATTGACATCAACATAAGATCCACTGATTATAAGACCATAGAATCATCATAGCATTCCTACAGTGTGCAAGCAGGCCATACGGCCCATTGAGTCTACATCAATCCTCTGAACACCATCCCACCCAGACCTAACCCTCTACCCTATCCCTGTAACCCTGCAATTCACATGCACATCTTTGGACTAAGGGAGGAAACCCACGCAGACACGGGGAGAATATGCAAACAGCTGCCCAAAGGTGGAATCAAACCTGGGTCCCTCGCATTGTGAAGCAGCAGAGCTAGCCACTGTGCCACCCCATATAATGTAGGAACAGAAGCAGGCCATTCAGTTCTTCAAGACTTGTCTGCAATTCAGTGAGATCACAGTTGTTCTGATAATTCTCAACTCTACCTTCCTGCCTTAATCAGTCTATCTCAACCTCAAATGTACTTGACAACCCAACCCTGATGGCCTCCTTTGGGAGGAATTCCATAAATTGAATATATTCAGAAACAAATCCTACTCATGTCTGTCATAAATGGATAACCCGTTTATTCTGAGATATGCCCTCTGGTCCTAGATTCTCCCACAAGGGGGAACAATCTCTCCACATTCCATCTTGTCAAGCCCCCTAATAACCTTCGTGTTTCAATAAGGTCTCCTCTCGTTTTTCTAAACTCCAATTAGTACAAGCCCAAACTACTCAACCTCCCCTTGTGAGAAAGTTTCTTTTTACCCAGGATCAACCTACTGAACCTTCTCTGGATTGCCTTCAATGCCAGCATTTATTTACTTAGATAAAGGGACTAAACTGTTAACAGAATTCCAGCTGTGGTTTGTTCAGTATCTTGTGTAGTTTTAGCGGGATCTCCCTATTTTTAAGTTCCACTACTTTGAAATAAAGGTTGATTGTCCATTTGCCTCCTCTATCACCTGCTGATTTTGTATGATAACATTTTGTGATTCAAGGAATATGCTTACCCCCAATCCCTTTGTGCTGCAGCTTTCTGCAGTCTTTCCCTTTTTCAATAATATTCACCTCTTCTATTTTTCATGCCAAAGTCCATAACCTCACATTTTACCACATTGTATTTCATCTGTCAAGTTTTTGCCTGCTCAGTTAACCTGTCTATATCCCTCTGTACCTTCATTGTGTCATCCTTACTACTTCACTTGCCACCTATGTTTGTGTCATCCACAAACTTAACTACAGTACATTCATCTCCATTATCTAATTTACTAATGTTTACAGTAAATAATTGTGGCCCCTGTATGATCTATATGGCATTCCAGTAGTTACAAGTTGTCATCCCGAAAATGCTTCCTTTCTCCCAATTGCTTCTCTTCTATTAGTTAGCCAATCCTCTATCCGTGATGATATATTACCTCCACGACTTAGTGCGTTTCAGTAAGAGCCCAATGTGCAGTACCTTATTGAATAATGAGAAACCAGAACCAAGCCAGTTCTCTGGTTGATGCAGAAATTTGATACATGAACCAGATCTTCCCTCAGTACTTGAGGGTCTTGCGGACAAGCAATATATATGAGATGAGTGATTCTATACGTTGTATTGCAGATTATCATAGGGTCTGTTTCTGTCCCGTATGACTCTTCGGTTCAACTCCTCTATGTCAACCAGGTTTCTTAAACTAAACTAGTTCCATTTGCCTACTTTTGACGCATATCTCTCTAAACCTTTCCTAATCACGTACCTGTCCAAATATCTTTTAAATGTTGTAACTGTACCATGATCTTTTTTCACAGCCAGTTTCAGGTCTTCGAATCTATTTGTTATTTTGTTTTTTCCTTTCTTCCATTAGCACTGGGCATCCCAAAGTGCTTCGTAGTCTATAAATCCCTTTCAGAAATACAGTAACTGTTGTGTTACAGGAAAGATTGCAACTAATTTACACACATCAAGCTCCCACAAAAGTAATTTGATAATCTGTTTCTGCTAACAGGAAAATAAATATTCACCAGGATACTGACGTGTACTCTCTCATTCTTTGTTGAAAAAGTGACGAGATCTCTAACACCCATGTGAGAGAGAAGAAGGTGCCTACACCTCATGTGAAAGACAGAGCCACTGACTGCTTGGGCCTGCCTAGATGTCTGTGCTTAAGTCCCAAAGGGTGATTTAAACCCACAACCTTCCGACCCAAACACAAGAGTCCTACCCACTCAGTCACAATTGATACGAGTAGCTCAAAGAAGGCGCCCAAGAATTTATACGCTGGGGCATTTTCATGGAGAGTGAGATTGAGGTGGGTAAGTAGGAAAGTGAACTAGCGGAGAGAGAACGTGATGAATCAATGTTTGAAATCTCCAAAGATGAGAAATTATTGGTGTAGGATAACTTGAGAAGAGTAGTGAAAATATCTCCATGAGCAATGAAGGCACAGGTGTTGGGCAAGTGGTAGAGAAGGAGATTCTTAAATGACAAAGGTGAAACAAGGTAAGATTCTTAAAGAAGGCAACATTGCTGGAGCAGAAAGGGGATAAACCAAGGTGAGGTTTGATAATAAGAATGATGGCCCACTGAGACAGGAGAAATACTGAATGGCATAGATAGGAGTGGAGACGTAGAGGGGAGACATTGAGAGTAGGTTCATTGACAAAGCCCAGTGTTTCCTTGAAGGTGTGAAGATTTTGCCCATGATTTTTTTTCACATTACATTTCAGGTCTTCTACCTCTCTTTTACAGCATCGTTATATTGAAAACATTTTACACTGAAAATTTCACACAGCTAATAGGTTTCTCAACTCTGAGTGTGAAAGTTGTGTTCAAGTCTCATTTTGGAACCTTGAGCACAAAAATTAATGCTGAGATTCCAATGCAGTACCAACCAGTACTTCACCGTCGGAAATACGTCTTGTGAATGAAACTTTAAGTGGATGCCCTTTCAAGATGATGTAAAGGAATTTGAGGAGCTATTTAAAGGACGGGAGCTGGGTCCTTCCAGTATGTTGACCAATATTTTCCCTGATCCAACCAATGATCTGTTTATCACATTGCTATTTATGGGCTAGTTAGATGCCACATTTATGACAGTACAACATAACAATGGTTCAAAGCCCCTGGGTGTTTTTTCCAATATATACAGTTCTGTTGCTTGCCTGAGAAGCTCTCAACAGGATTAGTAAATGGTACATGTGTACGTCTGGTAAGAAAAGGTCAGATTTGGACAAAGTAATGTTGAACTTTCCCAGCTTTTTGTTTTCCAAGTAACTGAATGTTTTTGGGTTGCAAATTCAATTGGTTCAGCAGTGGAGCTACCAACTCAAACTTCCAGGAGGTATACAATTAAGAAGGTGAGTCAGGAATTACTGCCCAGTCAGTAAGAATCAGCTATTGGAGGATTTCAGAAGCTGTCTTTACAATGAGTGCCACTAAACTGAGTAGGATAGCAAGAGGCCAAGATGAAATGGTGGAAATGGCAGACATTTCTTCACCACCGTGGATGGCACAGTGGCTCAGTGGTTAGCACTGCTGCCTCACAACACCAGGGACCTGTGTTCAATTCCAGCCTCAGGCAACTGTCTGTGTGGGTTCTATACATTCTCCCCGTGTCTGTGTGGGTTTCCTCCAAGTGCCCCTGTTTCCTCTCACAGTCCAAAGATGTGCAGGTTAGGTGGATTAGCCATGGATAATGCAGGGTTACAGGGATAGGTTAGATGGAGATGGTGTAGATTCGATAGGCCAAACGGCCCGCTTCCACACTGTAGGGATTCTATGATCAATAATTTCCATGTCTTCAGCCTCCAGGAGATGGTTATGAAATACAAGCCTCTGCCTGTAGATGACCACCAGCTTTTTGACTGGCAAGCTTTAAGATGCAACTCTATATTATGTGAGAAGCAGTGACATAATGGTAACATCACTGGCTAAGTATTCCAGAACCCCAGGCTAATGTTCTGGGGCATGGGTTCAAATTATTTGTTTAAATGGTGAAATTTGAATTCAATAAAAATCTGGAATAAAATGTTAGCCTAATGGTGACCACTGTTGATTGTGATAAAACCATCTGGTTCACAAACCTGCCATTCTTACCCAGTCTGGCCTATGTATGACTCCAGAGTCACAGCAATGTGGTTGCCTATTATTTGCTGTCTGGGTAATTGGAGATGCAAATTAAATGCTGGCCGATGCAGTGATACCCACATCTAATGAATGAATTAAAAAGAATGATCATTACATTCAGCTATGCACCACTTTCTGGTAAGTTGATGAGCAGCAAACACTGTGAGAGCATTACATATCCATCAGGAAGTATTCAACTGCTCTCAGAAAGTACCTATTAATTGTTTCATTAACAATCTCAATTGAATTCCCACTTCTGCTGGATGGGGTGCAATTAATACACAAGAAGCCTCTGGGAAAATTAGATGTAGGCAGCAACAATTAGATTCCTGTCCAATGTTATTTTTCCTAATTTCCTTCCAACCCTCCTCCAAGGGCTCCTTAAAATTCCCAGCACAACTGGGCCAGAGAAGCACTAAGCTTCACATTCTGTAGAAGTCTTGTTGGAGCTGGATGTGCTTGATATAGATACCACTTTTGTGAGGGGAAGGAGGTGAAATTGGTCTTAGGCTAAAATGATCTTCAATACAATGAAAAAGAAAATCAGGTATGATGCAAAGTA